TGTGCTCAGGAGAGGACAAAAGGTACATGGATTCAAGTGCTGTAGTTTTCACAGACCATGTCTCTTAAGGTTTATCCTAAACCCTTGCAAATGTCTTCCTGCTTTCCCTCTTATGTCTGTACTTAGGAAGAATCTGAAACAGTGGACTCACGTTCCTTAGAGGAAGACTAATATCAAGCGCAGAAGACTAAGACACTAGATGTTTCCCATTTCCTGACTCTATATTCGGTTTGATTCCATGACATTTCTTCTACATACATTTATTTAACAGGCCTTTATTTCTTGCAGATATTTTATGAGATCACAGCAGAGGACCCCTGTAGTATCATATTTTAAACTCATCTTCTCCAACTTGGTTATATTCATGTCTCTCAGTCATCACACTGTTACCTTGGTCCTAGGAGGTCATTACAAAGGTCACCAACAATAACCATCTCTGAAAGATGCAATCAAGTCTGCTGTGGTATCACAGGGACTGTTTATTTATCCATTTCATCTTTAATTTATTTCTCAAACCTGTATTTTGAGTTTATCATCCATTTCATACCTTTTATAATAAGGTTCAGAAGATATGATTTTTTTTCAGACTGAATTTTTGAAACAAAATATTATTGGGCTATCTCTGCAATCTATCACTGACTTTGAAATAGGGGAAACTATTCTAGGGTTAACAGGAATATAACCATTGGGGTTGCTTTCTATTCTATTTACTTCTGTATGATGCTGCTACAATGTGTAGTTCTCATACAAAACAACACATTTATAATGTTAAGTCTTATTCATAATACATCCTGTGTTAGAAAATGACATGTCTGGAGAGTAATAAACTAAGATTGAAGAGCATGTGATGTGGGTGTGTCATTTCTGAGTACACTTTCTCACAATCTCTATTGCAAGAGTTAGATTAAAAATGAAAAGTGCATACAAAATACATGAGAAGTACATGTATTTTATACATATGTGAATGTGAATATATTCATCTATGTATACACATATACATAGATGTACAGACTTACATCTATACATACAAAGAGAAAATGTAAGGCTTAATTTTTATTTCCAAGTTTTGAGGTCTTTTTGTTGGGATAAGAGTAAAAGAAATCAGTTAATATATTCCTTTAGTTAGTCTTACACTAATTAAAAAATACCAGCATTTAGTTTTCTATAATTGTGGTTTCTTTTTTCCTTTTTTAAAAAAGTGTTATGATGTGTTATTGCTATGTAGCCCAGGCTAAGATCAAATGTGGGAAGGTTGTGATTCACCTCCAATTGCAGGAGTGCATTACCACACCCAGTGTGCATTTCCATGAGCTTGTGTAGAGATGTTCTGTTAAGATCTCAGCCTGTGAACTGTGTGTTAATGAAGGTGAGCTGTTGAATAAATGACAAGGAATCTCAATTGCCTATTTACAGTCTGTTGGCTGGTATGGGTCTGGTCTAATCTAGTAGAAATACATGATAGATTTGTTCATGCTATAGATTTTAGAAAACTGTCTTCAGTCTTAAATCCAAGGAAGAGTGACTACTATTGAAGGTATAAACCTGTCAAAATAAAAAAGTAAAAAATAATTAATTTTAAAGGTACTAGTTTTAAAAAGATCCACTGCTGTGATGTATCTGTTATGATGAGAATAGTAGTTCTTTGAATCATTGTATTAAAAATCATGTCAAGAACATAGCCATGCTGGTCCACACTGTGACTAGCAACCCAGGCTGTGGGCCAAGCTCTCATTGTCCTGCTGAAGAGAGGAAGGAGGGATTGGATTATAGAAGCTGGGTGGTAAGGGATATCAGAAGAAACCCACAGAAATAGCTAGTCTGGCTCATGGGAACTTGTAGTGAGATAGATACTTTGTCTCCTTCTGTGGCAATGACCATGCCCATTGGGGGGTGGAGCCATGGGCTGAAGTGACCTGTGGAAGGAGGTCTGAGGAAGAACCAGGAACACTCTCTTGCTGGCGGGACTGGGACAGGAGAGCATCCAGTGGAACTTGCTGGTGTTCATCTGTCTAGGTTGTAAGTTATTTCTCCCTGAATAAACATCTATTCGGCCTATTGGTTTATCCTGATCCTTATTTAACCGCAATATCTGGTGTCAGAAGCGGGATTAGGATTTTCACGGGACCTGGGTTTCACCCAGGCGGCAGATGCTGCTCCCCTCCCACACCATCCCCAACAGGGCAGGGTCCCTTGCCTAACCAGGGGGACTCACCACAGCTTTGGGACATTTGCCTCCACAGCGGGCCTGAGAAGGCACTCACTGCTTCTCATTTTTTGCCCATTTCTGCACTGCACTTTGCATTCGCACAGAGCCACTTGGAGCCTGCCCTGCTTGTGCATTTCCGGCGGTTAGAACTGCTGTCCCAGCAATTCCACAAGACTCCTTTTACTCATTTGTCTAACAAAATTTTGCTTGCTATAGTTTTTTAAGAGCTATTCTACAGGGACCAGGATCAGAAGGATCGTCTGCTGCAGGACAAAATTTGGCGGTACACTTCCGGGCAGAACCGGGATCAGATGGACACTGTTTGGTGGTACACCTCCAGGCATAACTACCACATGCTGAGATCTGAAACTAAAAGCATCAAAGTTCCAGGACAGCAGAATTACACCTAAGGTAATTGTAACATCCTGTGCAATTTAAGCTGATATAATATCTGAGATCAATTGTTCCATAACTATGGCAGATAATTTTACAATGCAGAACTTTAGGAATTATTTTACTTCATATATAGAAGGAACTCTAGCAGAAAAAAATTATGACTGGACCAATATGTACTTTTATTTTGTAATAGCAATGGGTTTCATCATTAACATGATATTCTTAAAGAAATGGTTTGAGATTACAACAAACAATAAGGAACTTATACAAACCATAGAAGACTTAGTAACAATGATTCGAAACATTAAAAATGATAAAATTCAAAGCATAGAAAACATAGAAAAATGGTTCAAAATATTGAAGATGGCATTGGAGAGCTGACAGGTAAAATACAAACCATGGAACATAAAAATGATCAAGTAAAAAACAAAATTTGTTTCATGTCTGATACCTCAATAACACTCGGGTTTATCTTTTAGACAGGAATAGGGTATGGTTGGGAAAGGCATGGTTTAGATGGAATATAGGTAGATTAGCCTATTTTCTTGTGAATTTGAGTAAGAATGAGATAGTATTTTACAGCTTACATTGTTATATATTCTTATATGTGGTAAGCTATGTAAAATTAAGTTTATATTTTGTTATATTGTGTGAAATCTTTCCACTTATGATGTTTTATGCACATTATTTTTACCATGTTCTATGTATGTGTACTTTTACTTATGTTCAAGACATATCATATATTGATACAATTTATGCACATTTATTCTTATCATATTCTTTGTATGTATACTTTTCTTGTATTCAAGACATTTTGTATATTGATACAATTTGGGATATTTATCATGCTGCCCTTTATAGTTCTATCTCTTGTCTAGACATTTCTACTCTACCCCAATTTTAGGGATTTATATGTATTTATATGTATATAGTTATATTGTTTAAGTATTTGTTCCTGCTTTACTCAGGAAAGTTTCAATCAGTTTTTTAGCTAAGTTCTTGAGTATTACAGATTATCTTCACTCATGTTTTCCTGTACCTATGAGATTAGTCAGATATAGATGTTTAATCTTCAATCACTTCATAGACATGCAGAACATGGCATTTAAATGTTTTAATATTAGTACTCCGTTGACATGAGACACTGTTGCTCCTGACAGCACTGTGCACTTTCCCGAAAATATGTTGGATACTGTTGTTGCTCCTGCTGGAGTTCATTCTCGCCTCGGCTAATGGCCTGTTGGGCATAGAATTGCCCCCACCTTAACCACTGATTTGGACATGCAGTCCTATGTGCTTGCAGGAGACAAATATAGAAGACTGCTGGACCTTGCCAAGTCAGGGTAAGACAGCCATTCTACCTCCCTGCTGTTGTTGTGTTCTGTCAAGTTCTCTTGGCCTTAGCCAAAACTGTGTGCACCAATGTTGCTGTGAGAACTAGGGTGACTGTCCAGGTAGCTTGCTGTTTCTGTCCTGGCTGCACCTTTTGGAAGTTGTCCATTCGTACTTCCTGTCTACCCTAGTATCATTATTTTCCTTCTCAAGTCTTGAAAAGGTTGAAGATTAAACCATCACAACTATTATTCTCTCTTCCTAGTTAGATATATTAGGTACTAGACTTACGTGTTCCAGCTTAGGACAACTCTATTGTAAACTCCATTATGCCTTCACCCTAGGACTAGATGTATAGGTCATTTTGTTCTCGATTATCCTTTTCTTAGATCACACTTGTTATTCACTGTTTTGTATATAGTTTTTTATTAAGCCTAAATCTTTTCTTTAGACTAAAAGGGGAATTGTAGTGAGATAGTCCTTCTGTGGCACTGACCATGCCCATTGGGAGGTGGAGCCATGGGCGGAACTGACCTGTGGAAAGAGGTTTGAGGAAGAACCAGGGAATGCTCTCTTGCTGGCGTGACTCAGACAGGAGAGCATCTGGTGGAACTTGCTGGTGTTCATCTGTCTAGGTTGTAAGTTATTTCTCCCTGAATAAACATCTATTCGGCCTGTTTGTTTATCCTGATCCTTATTTAACCACAATAGGAACTCACAGAGTCAGAACCAATAACCAGGGAGACTTCATGGGACTGAAATAGGCCATCTGCATATATGTGACAGTGACAGTTGTGTAGCTTAGTCTATTTGTAGGACTCCTGGCAAAGGGATGAGGGGCTGCCCCTGTTACTTTGGCTGGCTCTTGGATTGCTTTGCTCAAACTGGATACAGAGCGAGGTACCTTCTCTTATAGCAGCTTGATATGGCATGCTTTGCCCAGGGGAGTCCTGCCCCTTTCTGAGTGAATACAGAGGAAGGGTGGATTGCAGGGGGTGCAAAGTGGTGGTGAAGGGAGGGAGAAGGAGGAAAGGAAGCAGGGGAGGCTATGATCAGTATGCAAAATAAATAAATAATAAGTAAAAATATGCATTTTATTTCTCAGTGGTCATGATACACCTACGTCCTTTGTAACTCTGGTATTTTGAATATGACCTGTTTTTACTTCCGATTCGTCTTACAATTTCTGCCTGGCAAATGAAGAACCTTTCCTACTAGAGTGAGGTGGGTCAGTGTATAAAACGTGTTTGTTGGATTGCCCTTGCAGTGGATGCACACAACTCTCTCTTCCAAGATTATAGACATGATATGCAATCCTCTTATTTGCCTGGTAACATAAATTTCTTAAAACACTACTTTCAATTTTGCTTTTAGTTTCCCCAAAATGGAAATATCTAAGCAAAGTTTATTTTTGGTTATAAAACTAATACATGCATACATTGTTTCTGTCAAAATCTGAACATTTGATTGAGCTGAATTCCCTACTGGAAATAAGCCCAACTCCTGCTATCCCCTCAATCAGGAAAGAAATATGCCTTTCCAAACCTTTGCTACCTTCTCACCTAAACCCACACACTCACCTGACTTGGGCCTTTGTTTGTATCTATATGTGAAAACTAAGTTCACAACCAATGTGTGCAGCACCAAATTAAATATTTTTTCAAAAAAAAATCCAATTTCCCATCTTTGAGCCCCATCTAAGGTCATGAAGGGAGAAAGAAGAGAGTATGAGCCAGAAATGATGAATGACTACAAAGACATGGTGTTTTGGGGGACACAATAGGGTGATGTCACTTATGAATTTACAGCAGGAACAACAGCATATACAGACCTGCACAAGTCAAGTCAAAGAAAATCCCAATAAGAAGGAGGAGATGGATGTGTAGCCTACCCCTTGCTGAGCAGATATCAAGAACAGATAATTGCTAGATGAGGGAAGTCCACATTTCTTTACACTGTGTTTCCTGGTATGTCAACTAAACTCCAGTAGAAGTAGCAGTGCACACACAGAAGGGTTGTGAGCAGCCCAAATTGGACTTGTTTGGTTTAAAAAATGAGGGATTAATTAGTAGGGGGATGGTGCATACTTTAATATTAAATTATATGAAATTATCACAGTTACTTTAACACTTATCCATTGTAACCCAAATACCTGAAATTTAACCAGGAAGACAAACCCAGCAATCCACAGGTGTAGCAGTGTTACATTTGCCCTCGCTTTTTGCACCTGTGATGAATGTTGTCTGGCCAGGTGAAAGGCATGTTGTATGTTTTGGAAAACTCAGTAGTTTAGCTTTATCAAAGGAGTATTGATCAAGGTTAAGTTTCAGATTCAGGGGCACTGTTCTGTCTTCAGATTTCCCAACTCTAGCAAGACATGTATCGGTAAGAGCTGTCAAGATGGCATCTTTGGCTTTTTTATTTCCTGGTGATCAGCCTTCTCAAAGGAAAATAAAGTAGTTTCTGACCTGTAATGGTCTCCATTGGCTTGGCAGCTCTGGTTCTAAAGGAGTCCAGTAGGATTTGTAGGAACAGCCAATGAAATTATCCTTACAGAGAACCCTATCTGAAGATTGTGTCTATGACCAACAAAAGAAAGGATAAAGACTTAAGGAAGCCAAGTGAAGAGTCATCACCTCTGCCTCGAGGTCTCACAGAGCTTTGAATTGCTTCCGTTTTGTCTATTTCCACGTAATGAAAAGGAGAACTTACAACTGGGATCCTCATTGTCTAGTTTTAGGAAAAAAAAAACAAAGAAAGAATAAAGAAAGAAAAGCATAAGCCCAGATAAGCCTTCTACTTTTTGTCAGCTGTTTTCAGAGGGAAGGAATGCCATCTACCCTCCAGCAACAAAATTGGCCCTTAGAGTCAGCTCTAAGCACCTACACAGCACAGTTCAGTGTGCATCCTCCCGAAGAAATTCAGAATCCCAATTACCCAGCATTGATTGTTAGCATCTGATTTTCAAAAATAAAAATAAAAATAATGAATTTTTAAAAACTGTTTACAAAGTTCCCAAAAGGGAATCATTGCTAGGATAAGGTCTTTCAGGGGGAAACTGATAAACTACTAAAAAATAGGGCAGCTCAACCACAACAACTAAAGGGAAAATGTGGGGGGGGAGAATGCAGCCTTCTGATGATAAATAAATTTCAATGTGCATATTAGTATTATAATGAAATAGGACATGAGAAAAAAAGATTTCATTTGTAAATAATTAGTCTCATCAAAGAACTAGATAGACCAAGGATCAAAGATAGTCTGAAAATGTCTTTATTGATGTAGAACTTGCATTTAAGTTTTAAATATCTATTAATCACACCGTAGGTTATTCCTTTTATCCAAGCAAGTGCACCGGTTCTCTGGGGGACGTCTCTGAATTTGACTGGAAAAAGGAGATAAAAGACCCTGCATTCAGCCTCTGCTCTTTAATGTAAGTGAGTAGCCAGCTGTTCCTGTACAGCAGAGTCTGTACTTTGAGCACATTCGTGACATCTATCAAAACGGTGTTTACATTTCCCTAATAATGTTAACCTAAGCATTTTATTGCCTTACTCTGCAAACTGTCTGAGTACACTAAAGAAATCTTCTCCTGGGAGAGGCTGGTTAGGCAAGAGGCAAACTACCCACAAAGCCCAGAAGTTCTGGGGGCTGCTGTGTAGCATCTGAAGAGACACAAGCCTTGGTGTGCTTTTGTCCAGATTACTGGGAATCCCTTGTGTTCAATAAATGCTGGAAAAAGCAAATGTCCTTCTTCACGAACATCCATGACTCAGTGATTTGTGCAGTCTAAACCAGGCTGCGGAACTGATGAGAATCCCAATAAGGAGGCTCCATGCAGGTGCTTGTTGGCCCTACACCGCTGTTTAAATGCACATAGCGAAACCTACCTCTTTCCTTTGCTCTTCAGCACTTTGAACAGCAAGTGGCAGAAATCAGGATTTTTGTGCCTAATCCACTCTTGAGTTACCCAACCACAAAATTATATTTAAGCAACTGCTTTGACAGCGAAAGTGCCCAGCTTATTTTTCTCTTCCTTGCTCTAATAACCTAGAGACAGGAGATCAGACTTGAGAGAAGGCTCCATCATCACTCTCTCTCTGGCCATGTATTAATAGAAATAATAATGCCATTAGTAATAATCTCTGGAAGAGACCTTAAAACTTACTTGTATTTTAAACTATCTGTGAAGTACAGGAAATAAATGCATTTAGGCTCCTGACAGTGAAGTTATTGCCTTTGTAGGAAATTTGGAATCTTGATATTTGGATTTGAAGTTTCTTTTGGTTCAGACTGTGATTATTTTCTCCCCTCAAGCTAACAAAATATCATGAATATACTCACTGTCCCTCTTTACCAGGAATTAGATAACATGAATAATAGGAGAAAGGAGCCCATGGGTCAGAAGCAATGGGCATGGAAGCAGGGGAGGGTTGACCCCAGGGAATAGTGGTTTCTGTGAATGTAAATATCATAATAAATCCGCTTTTTGAGTTAATGCAATAAGTAATAATGCAAAACTCTAATCACATATCTGAACACATGGCCACACCCCATAGAAGCCATCATTCTATTTCCATGCCTTCACATATTTCCTCTAGTAAAACAGAAGTAGCATCATAAGATGATTTAAAAAAGCACCTGACTTGCAAAGCAAATGATTTAATTTCAGCTTTAACCCCACAAACAAAGGAAAAGCACACCACTAATCTCTCTTCCCTTATTATTGTGTTTCACTCAGTAAGATTTGTATTGTATATTTATATGTATGCGAATGTAAATAAACAACATATAGATGTGTATATAGCTGTAATTTTAACATTCAAAAATGGTTTGTGGATGTCTAGATAAAATGAATGAATTGATTTCCTCAAAGAAAATTTTCCTTGTTCTGTGAATAAAATGTGTGAAATATCTGCTAAATTCCCGATGTTGACCAACAGTACACAGGCTGTGCTGTGTGAAGCACTATTTTGTAGTGTAAGGTTCCACCTGTACTGCAACTTCAGCCCTCTTCAAGTCACAGATGAAACACGTTTTCATTTTTGATTTGCTCTTGGGAATGCATTCCCATCATCCAGTTACTACTTCTCTGAGCCCAAAGCTAGGAGTCACCTGTCACCAACATGAAACAGACTCTTGCATCCCTGGAGCAATGAGTATTTCTCAATACAGGAAAGAAGAGAAACACCTGATTCCAACTAAACCCCCCATACTGATGACATCTCATGAAGTCTCTTCTCTAGGGCTTCTAAAACCATATCATCTGTCTGTTCCATGACCTTGTCTACCTTGGTAGACAACAGCATGGCTCCTGTAAGCTTACAATTACACATTTCTCCACCCTTACTTAACTATGGGCAAGTGGCAAACTTTTACTGCTCTGCTACTGAAGATGAACTACAGCCAGATGTGTATACTGCATGCATGAATCTCTCCCAACTAAAGATTATTCTATTCTCATTACAATTTCACAACACCACAATTGCTAGTGTTGCTGAAGTTGCCAAAATTAGAAACAGGAAAGTGGTAGGTCCTATAATTCCCTCTCGTGCATTTTTGAATATATTTGGGACAGTCAGTAACCAGTGTCAAAAATACAATACCAGGATACAGAAGGGCAAATTGCAATTTCTTTACTATTACAGAAAATAAGGGGTCACAAGTCTGTGTGTAGAGGATCACATTGTCAGTTCTACATGCACATGTGTATCACATGCTTCTTAGAACCGAATTTATGCTAAGAAGAAAGTTAGACTAGTGCGGCATTTATTATCTAGATGCCTTTGGAAGAATGTATTACACACATTTGGCACAAATAAGTAGGTCCAAAATAATTATCTTACTCTTCAAATCATGGAAAATGTAAAAATAGCATATTCAAGGTGAATTTACAATAGATATAATTTTGAGAGTGAGAACTTTATGAAATATTTCAAACATTGTCATGAAAATAGCAAAATACAAACATCCCCTCAGGCTTTATGTACTTGGGTTTCAAAATTGGGAAATAATTTTTAAACTAGGTTGTAACGTGTATGGTTTTTCCTCCCACCACCTGGTATTGTCCCGCCACCACGCCGCCAGCCCCAAATAACACACAGAGACTCTGTATTTGGTACAATACTGTTGGCCCTGTTACTTGTTTCTTATCGGCTAGCTCTGCCTTAATTATTAACCCATTTCTATGTATCTTCACATGGCCTTCTCTTACCGGGGAGGCGGCTGGCGTCCAGCTCTCTCCAGACTCTCCATCTTGACTCCTCCTTCCTACTTCCTATTTCCTCCTTGTCTCCTAGTCCCTCCTATCTTCCTTTCCTATTGGCCAACAGTGCTTTATTATTAACCAGTATG